AATATCATATTCGCTCTTGGCACCATGATTTAGCCGACTCTTAGTAGCCGCTATATATATATAGCTTGCACCTGCATACTTAGAACTCTATGGTAGACTTTTCAATCAATCACATTCCGGCAAAATCCATTAATATTGAAAAATGTCCCCACCTATTATAGAGACTCTTGACCCAAGGAGTCGGTAGCCGTTTAGTCCGTCTACTGCAAGGGTGCCCAATTTATTTTGAAAGCGGGCTATAATTGCAATTACATTTAGCTGGCGGGCCATGTTATGAACAAGACTCGCTTACACTTATAATTCATCTAAAATTCTATTTTCAATAGATACTTAATTAGGTAGGACAGATAGGTATTTAAATTAAACAAAATTTTAAATTTCACATGTTTTAATTTTTAATAATATTTAAAAAAAACATCAGTGAGACCTATGAAGAGACTTATTAGCTAATAATTTTTCAATATTTGGTGATAAATCTGTTGTTGATAACAACATCAAATCTGAAATATGAGAAGCAGTTAACGAACAACGATATTTATTTTTGACATAGGTTAGAGTAGAAAAAGCTTTTTCGCAAATATATGTTGATCCAAATCTGCTTGAAATCTGCAAGGCAAGATCACACGTTGCAGGAAAGTCTTCTTTTGGTACTAATTTCCAAAATTGTATTAAATTTTCTGAAGACTGCAGCTGTGGCTGTGATGATACAATTTCGGTAAATATCTGCTTCAGGGAAATGTGGTTTTGAATTTCTGTGATTTTCAACTGGATATTGCATGAATATTTTTGTATTTCACTAAAAGTGATTGAAAATGGATTCATGAAAAACAAAATGTTATTTTTGTCCTTCTCAAAATCCTGAAATCTGTTCTCAAAAGACTGCAACAATAATTGAATTTGTGTTTGGTATTTCGAGATGTCAGGCGAAATATTTTCTAGTTTTTCTCTTATATCTACAAGCGTAGGAAAATGATCGATATTATTTCTAGCCAAATTTGTTAAAAAAAGGGAGAGTTTCGCTTTAAATCCGTAAACCAAGTTAAACATTATTGGCAACGAACAGTCCTTCCCTTGCAGCTTCCGGTTAAGTATGTTGAGGTGCTGTGTAATATCTATTAAAAACGCAAGATCGCATAACCATGATTCACTTTCAAGTAAATCTCGCTCATCAGGCATTGCCTGCTTTTCTACTAAAAATTGCAAGACCTCTCTCCTCAAAAGAAAAAAATGTTTCAGCATTTCACCCTTAGATAACCAGCGGACAGCACAATACAAATGTAACTCACCGAATTCATTTATTTCTTCTTCAAATAAAACTCTGAATTGTCTTCGATGAAGCGCTTTGGCTCGGATATAATTAATACAGCGTACTACAGGATCAATAACATCATTAAACTTCATATCTTTGGCACATAAAGCTTCCTGATGGATGATACAATGATATGAAAATAATTCTCGGCCTAAGAACTGTTTTAACAAAGCCACACAACCATTTATTTTTCCAATCATAGCGGGTGCTCCAACAGTACAAACAGAATTAATTTTTTCCCACGCTATACCTTTTCTGTCGACACATTCCTTGATTTTCATAAATATGTCTCTTCCGGTACTTGTAGTTTCCAACTGGCTGAGCTCTAACAAATCTTGAAATACATTTAAATTTTCATCAACACACCTCACGAAGATGGCTAGCTGTGACATACTCGTCAAATCAAAAGTTTCATCCAACGCCAATGAAAAATATTTACATTTCGTTACTGTTTCTGTTATTTGGTTGCTGATATCGTTTGACATCTCCTCTACTCGTCTTGTTACAGTATTTCTCGAAAGTGAAATACCGTCTGCTTTAGTTTTTACATTTTTATCATTACAGTTTTTAGAAAAAATTGATAAAGCCTCTTTTATAATTTCCTCATCAGAAAAAGGCTTTTTCCGTGCACTGCAGGCCCATCGACATTCGCTTACAAAATCGGTCTCACCAAACATTTGAAAAATGTTCATGGTATCGTACCAGCTCTTCGCCAACCATATGCGCAGCTCGACCAACCGGCTGCATCGATCGATGCTCAATCAGTCCGACAGAGTGTTATACAGTTCGCACCTCGTATTACCCGGCCTACTCCTCAGGGACATATTCAGATTGCCCCTCAAATATTTGTC